GCGACGAAAGTAGTAAACACATTCGCAGCGCGAATTCCAAGTACATACGAACGACGAACCGGCCTCGATCCGCTACGAAGGTCACGGTCGATGCACAGCCTAGGTCAGGCCCATCGCTTATTATCGCGTTAAAGCTGTCTCTGCTCTGGAGGTGACAAGTCGCTGTTAGAACTTTTGTGTTTTCGTTGCCCGCGACCAGTTCGCCTCTCCTACTTTACCTACTTTACTCCTTTACTCCTTTTCCCCTCTCGCTAAATATTCCCTTCTTTCTCCGCGCTCGTACGCTCCAAATTAGCTCGTTCCTAATTTCCTCGTATTTTCCATGTAATCTTAAGCGCATCGGCTCTGGTGAAATGAATAAATCTGAAATGGATATGTACAAACCGTGGAATAATGGCAGTGCAGATAGTGGCACACTGCGGTCAGCATACTCGCAGACAGGCGCCGTGCCATCAGTGATTCTCATTTCGCTTCCATGTCTTTCCTCTCCAATGAAATGTTTTCGGACCAGCAGAAACTACCGACGATCGTTACACGTTGGTCTTTGCTCGTTAGGTCTATAGGGCTTGTTCATCGATTTTCTCCTTGCATTTACCTGCAAGGGTGTAACTTGTTTGAACCTCGCGACGAGCGGCTCGTGCGACCGTTCACCTACCGTTCACCTACCGTTCACCTACCGTTCACCTACCGGTCACCTACCGTTCACCTACCGTAAAAACGCACGCACAATTCTCCGGTGAAACTTTCGAAATCCATCGTGGATATTTTACAGACGATCCAATTCGATCGTTCCGTTCTTAGTTAGTATCCGATTGATCCGGGGCGGTAGCGCCGATCTGTAAAACCAGTTTGTCGTGTTCCTGACTCTCTCGGGGAGATATTAGCAGCGCGAATATCGGTTACAACGCCGATGCATTTAAGGACTGTTAGAGTTACATAACATTTCGATGGGTGGACGTGTACCTGCGATCAACACCGATCTCGTATCGTTTTACCGCGTTACTTTACGCAGATTCTCATTTCATCTGGCAACAGGGAGTTCCATCCATTTGTTCCTTCGTTGGCTTGGACGAGAGAAAGTTCGAGGCGTTATCGCCGATAATGATACGATACGATACCATAAGGTAAGCGGTCATCCCGTAAATCGGAGAACGATCGGAAACGCGATCTCCTTTTTTCTCTGTCGCGTCTCGGAAGGGACCAGAGGGCCGTGGTTCGAATGCACGCGATCTACCTGGCAACGCGTCGTATCTACATATATGCATAGAGGCCCTTTCGGACGAGCGAAAAAGCGAGAGAGAAAGAAGGAATGGAAGGGCGCAGAAGGGGCTGGTGGTCGGTGGGAGATGGGGAGGAGTAGTGGCGGGTGAAGAGGGAACGGGGCGAAAGAGGGAGGGACGCGTGACCCAAATGCGAATTTTATCGAGTTACGCTCTGTTATACTGTCCAAGTGCAGTCGGAATTGCAGGGCGGCTTCGTCACGCGATGCAAATTACTCGAGGGCGGCAGTTTTTACGTCCGGTTTCGCCGTGAACATACGGTCAACCCTCCGGATCACCCAACCTTAGGTCCCTTTCTTTCCACGCGGAAAGCACGCTTTCGCCTCGAACGAGTACCGGAAATACGATAAGTGCTTGTAGATACGTTAACTGTCGGAGGGATTTTCCTGTACGCGCCGTTCCAATGGCACTTTTCATCTTCGCGATCTTAACGCGTACACGCGCGTTGCTGGATCGCACGAAAACCAATTTCGCTAACTTTACTAGCGAACTAGGGAACTCCCGCTCCAACTTTCGTGCGAAACGAATCGCGTGAATGAACCAGCCAACCAACCAACCAACCAACCAACCAACCAACCAACCAACCAACCAACCAACCAACGGCCCCATTCTCGGGAACACGCTTTCTACCAATTTTTTCTCTCTCTTTTTTCTCTTCTTTTTACCAATCTAACAGAGAAACCGCATAAGAAATTGTGAACGCAAGCGGCAATTCAACGCTCTTCGGTAAATAGAGATACGCAAACGGCGGCCGTTCACCTCGACGACGACGACGGATTTTTACCGCGTTCACCTCTTTACCTCTTCCTTTCGTTCGGTATCGCGATCGAGTCCCCGAAGCGTTGCGAAATCACGCGAAGACGCAGGCGTTGAAATGAAACGTTTGTTGTTGTGTCAGTGTCGTGTCAGCAGCGTACACCTGTACGCGCCGTGATTCTCCTGTTAAATTTCGATCGAATAGGCGACACCGTGCCGCTGTCATGTACCGTTGGTAAACGATTTGTCGCGCGATATTTTTAAACGTTCTTGCCCTTAGC